AAAAAGGTGGTCGAGCAGTTTCAGGGCCGAAGAGATTACGAGAGAGTTGCAGTGGGAGAGAGATCCCTTGAGGTTTGTCCGGAGGGAGGAGGGTAACTTCTTCAGGTTAGGCATCCTTAGAAGAGGCTTCGCAGTGGGGTTACATGGAGCTTATTTTTTAAAAGATTCCCAAGGCCGTAGGATTCCTTAAATGTTGTCAGAACAGGTCATGCCTTTCTCTTTCTGCCTCTGAATTGATTACATTGAACTGCAAAAAACCAGTCCAGCTCGTCCCCGCCTCCCTAACCTGTTCTTCCTCCCACCTATCCCCTCCTCCCACCTCAAGCCGCACCCCCACCTCCTACCGACCAACCTCATCCTGGAAGGAATGGTAAAACTGTGCAAATAAGTGTTTTAAAAAAACTTTTATCCACAACTTTGGCTGAATTTCCCCTTTTCAATATCTTTGTTGTTGCCCAACTTTTGTAATTGGAGTAATAAATGACATTTTTTATTTCCTTTAGAACTCAAGCGTTAGCGTCCATTGTGAACAATCAATACATCCTCCTCAATTCAGAATAATTGTTCGATGTTTCATCATCAGTAATAAAAAATATTGCAAAAAATTCACATGGAATGTTAGCCTAATCCCAAGAATATGCATGCTATGAGGAATAAATGTTAGTAGTAATTCCTAGCAGAATCTCTCTTGAAATATAGGTAGTCTATTCTGCCAATATGGTTAATAGAGCAAAGGTCTTAGTGGACTTAAATCCAATTTTAAAACATGCTGTTTTGCACGATAGTAAGTTCCAGCTGATTTCAAACCTTTTCCCTATTTCTTTAAAGGTGACAAAGAAATTTTAAGTCACACAGCATCATTAAAACAAATGTTTTGAACTAGTTGAATTCACACCTGGACAGCTGCTATCACTGTTCTCAGACTGTTTTGTGTCAAATGTCACACTCAGCAAGCAGAAATACAAGCTGAGCTATTTAAAAAAAAAATGTGAAGTTGAAAAACCAAAAGCATTGCTCCAAAATGATCATAGACTCCTAAAAGTTAGTAGTACTGTCAAAAATCTTAATGTTATTTCCACCAGATGACATTAATCAAAAGGTCACATTTTATTTGCCGATGACAACTGTATTATCCTTCTCTCACTTGTGTTGGCATATTGCCTGACCAATGTATTTATGAATTTGAATTTTCTCCAGTTGAACAATGGGAAAACTGATCGGACCATGCTTTAAAGGGTACTACAAAGCTGCAATAATGTTGGGGAGACTGAGGAAATTTATTTTTGTTTCACAGAGAGCAAACTGTTCCTGTCCAGACGCCTCGTTCTGTACTTCCAAGATGTTTTGTTCTTAATGCAAGATTATGTAATCAGAGTCTCTGTAAGAACACTACAACGAAGAAAGTTTATAAATATTGTTGAGTGTGCAGTTTAAGTATCTTTTTGAATTTAAAATGGTTAAAATTTCAGACTGGCCTCAGACTTCAGTGATTGAACATGTATTGTTGCCACACTGCCTCAAAACTAGGTACAGACAAATTTAGGTATTTTCCAAACAACCTGTTCATAGATGTTATTACACACCTCTGGAGTAGATGGGACATGAACCTGGGCCTCCTGGCTCAGAAAGGAGGACACTACGATTGTGCCAAAACAGCCCTTGTATGTTCGCCTCTGCGCTCATGCTTCAACTATCACCAGCCCACACCCTTATCCATATTTGCCACTTTATTGTATTAATAATATTACACCATACTTGATAATCATTGAGAATAAAACATAATTTGTAAGTGTACCTTTCATTGACCATGATAAATAATAAAGGCTTTTAGGTTCTGAGTGACAGCTTGATCCCATTAATTGAATGTGTTCTGGCCAATGACATGGCTGTTCCTACGCCGGGCAAAATTACAGACTGGTAGTCGACTAGGTTCAAACTAAAATTTCAACTAATTCAGCAAATCAATTCTATGTTTGAATTTAATGCCACTAAAAGTTTACATTTATTCAAAACATTCCCTATTACCAGAAGGGTCAAAAAGGTTACTTATGATTCTGAAACAAAATTTACCAAGGGCTGAATTGTTTTTTTTTTGGCTTTGTCCAAGTTGTGTCAAGTTTTTTTTGAGAATTTTCCACCACAAGCACTACCCTTTTTCTCCTCACGGTCTCTTAAACTTGCCCCATCGCTACCAGCCTACCCCTATGATATCCCTTACGGACAATTCTTGCTCCGTCTTACCACATGTTGCTCTCAGAACAACTCACCACTCGGTGGATATCCCAGAATTCACTGGAATGTTGTGTACACACTATTTTGAAAATGCTGTTGTGCACCTAGCTAAGTAGTGTCAGTCTAGAACTGCTCAGCTTGCTCTACCACTTTCACTAATGCCTGCAACATCTTGCCCCACTTGCTGTCATCCACCACAGCTTTAAATCACTCAGGATACCTCTCCACCTACAAATATTAACAGCTGTCACCCATTTTCATTTCCCTTCATACATTTTCATAGAGCACAGAAACAGAGCCTTTGGTCCAACCAGTCTATGCTGAATATAATCCCAAACTAAACTAGTCCCATGTGCCTGCTCCTGGCCAATATCCCTCCAAACCTTTCCTATTCATGTACTTATCCAAATATCTTTTGAATGTTGTAACTGTACCCACATCCACCACTTCTTCAGGAAGATCATCACACACACAAACCACCGTGTAAAAAAAATTGCCCCTCGTCTTTTTTTTAAATCTCTCTACTCTCACCTTCGAAATGTGTCCCCTCGTCTTGAAATCCCCTATTCTAGGGAAAAGACAACTACCAATAACTCTATTTACACCCCTCATTATTTTATAAACTGCTATCAAGTCGCCTTTCAACCTCCTACAGTCCAGTGGGAAAAAAAGTCCCAGCCTATCCAGCCTTTCTTTATAACTCAAATCTTCCATTCTAAGCAACATCCTGGTAAATCTCTTCTGAACCCTCTCCGGCTTAATAATATCCTTCCTATTCTGGGTGACCAGAACTGGACACAGTACTCCAGAAGAGGCCTCATCAATGTCCTGTACAACATCAACATGACTTCCCAACTCCTCATTCCAGGAGGAAAACAGCTCCCAGTAAGGCAGAAAGAGTCAAGGTAGATGGTGGGCTGTCCAACATTCAGGTCCTCACCCCTGAAATGAAAAGAATCATAACTGACTGCCATGAATGGCTTACTGACCATTTCTAAGCCCGTTATGGAATCAGAGGCTGCCCTTGATTTAGTGTTCCAGGATCCTCTGAATGAAGGCTATTCCTATTTGCTTGACTGAGGCTTGATGACAGCTTTCAGCCAGCACAAAACAGCAAGGGGAGGCAGAAATGCTCTTTACATCGAAAGCGGCTCAGATAAGTAAACATGACAGTAAGCAAATATCCAGGAGGTGTAGACTGGTCCAGTCTATGAGCTGATGATTTTTGCTGCTGTACCCGAGATGCAGCACTGAAGTGCAAAGCATTCTGTAAGTGGATCAGAGATGTGCCATGAGGGCTTAGAAGCTCACAAATATCAAATTCCAAAGAAATTATGTATGGATGTGTGGCCAGTGCCCATGGAGCAAGCCCCAGGACGCTGGTGTCCAACATGGAGCTCTTTCACAGCAAGCAGCGAGCTTACTTCACCATTTCCATGTCGAGATTTTTCAAGGCCCAGTTTGTTTGGCAAGATGGAAATTAATGAGGCAGGTTGGTGCATCAAAAAAGTGTTTAACAGGCTTTAATGACCAATTGGCAAATCATCACTGCTTTGCAAGGACCTTGCCACTCCATTTGTGAAAAGCAAAAAAGTTGGAGCAAAATGTTCTAGATAAAAATGGGTTTTGCCGGACCTTGTCTGATTCTGCCACAAATCTCACCATCGCCCACATCACCCAGACCTATTCTGCCAAGTTTCGGATCATTGAATTCCTGGCTGAAAATACATGTACTTGTTTGGTACCAAATGAGGAACACACATCAATAAGTACATATCCCTGATTATATCTTGAGTTATATTTAATAATAGCCAACAATCAAACTTAGCAAAACTCCTCAATGTTACATGACTTAAAAATAAACATCAGTAGCATACATCAAGACGGATGCAAAGCTGGTATCTCAAAATACAACAGAATTCAATGTCAAACCATAATGCCACAATCAAAAAAGGCTTTAGTACCATTGAAAGTAAGTTATTTTTCAAAGAGGATTTCAGTTACAATTTCACAGTAAGTCCTTAAAAATATCATCTGGAACATTTGTCTGTCTATCACAAAGGGACGATAATCCGAAGTACTAAAATATTTACATATATGGAAAATAAAATTCCAGTAAAACATAAGGATCAGGGAAACTACTAACTGCTGCATTTGTATGGCAGCTTCATTTGGGAGATTGAGTATTTTATCTTTTGCCCCACTAACAATGTTGTTTTGAACTCACTATTGTATGTAAAAATCATATAGCAATAATCCATTTTTACAAGCAATAACAAAATAAACAATGCTTTGAACCAGCTGAAGGAACTAGTCAGCAAACTATTAGCACGGATTGCCTTCTTTACAAATGATGAAAAATTACAACGTGTTTCAGTTTGGAATGAAATCTTAAACTGGAACATTAAAAATGTCTCCAAGATTTTGCAACAAGAAGAGAGAGGAAATCTTGCCCTGAGCTCCATTTTATTTACAGCTATGCCCCATTAATGGAAGATGTAAATATTCAGAAGTATTGTTAGGATTCAATCAAAATAGGACCACATACTCCGTAATCCTAATGACATGGAAGTTTGCTATTTGGTGGATATGCGCTAACAAAAACTACATGTTGAAAGGGAGATTGGCTGCATGTATGAACAGCTGAAGAATTCATTCATTAAATGCTACTCCTATACGTCAGAGACATGCTCATATTACCAATCTGGTTAACCAATTCAATGTCATTAGGAATTGATCTATATTTCATGTCAATGAAGATCCAAGTTAACATATACTGATGTGTTTTCTAGAAAAAACTCCCAATAATGGCAACTGATGATAAGTTAAAGCAGCTGCCCATGATTAGAAATACATTAGTATTTGTGAAATACAAAAAAAATTTACGTTAGATGGTAGATGAAATTTCATATTTATTAATTTGTATCATCACACTTTGCATGTTACTTCTAGTTTAAATAACTGGCATCATCACTTTGTCATACTCGAAAGCCACCCTAGTTTAAAGAGGGATGATGAAGACGACGACGACGACACATCATCATCTTGAAAAGCTGCCAGTTGTCGGAATAAGGAGCCAGGTCCCTGACTTGCATCTTCTATGACAGACAAGGGAAGAATCTGTATCAACAAAGACAAAAAGGTTTCAGCAGTACAACCTGGATACATTTACTGTTCAATTTGCACATTATAGCAAGACAGCAGAGCTACCATTAAGCTGTATTATTCGCAAAGCAACAATGTGGTTGCAATAATTATATCAAATCAAGTAGCTCAATTAGCAAATGCACAAACACTCAAGCGCCCATTCTCAATCTTCAATCCTCAAAAACCATGGAAGAAATTCAGCATTACCAATATACTCCCTTTCTATCCTTGTAGAAAGGATACTGAATCCTCTGAGCAAATTTTCTGTAAACAGCAAATGATTTGTTTAGAGTTCAGATGGCTCATATGTTTCAAAGCTCGTTATTTTATGCACACTTTCTTTTGTGAACAGGAAGATTAAATAATCTAATGTCACTAACATGCAAATCAGAAATTAAGCTGATTTGTTACGATTCAGTACCCTTATTTTTGGAGTAATATAAATTATGGAAATAGGTAGATGACATCAATGAGACAATTCCTTGTATTAATTACAGCAAAATGATAGCATCTCCAGAATCCAAGAGTGAAAGACTTCAAGTACTAAGAACTTTGGATTAGTTCTGGTTAGTCACACAGCTGTTCACCCGACAGAGTAAACTAGATCTATGAGACCAGTTTTGGCTCCAAATAAAATTTCCATTGGCTCAGGGTACTGAACAGAGAATAGCTCATCCTTGGAGTCAAACCATTTTCTACGTTTGGTTTTAACAGCATTCAAATTTCCCCAACCATCTTCTCATTCCTAGCAAGTTCGTAAAATGTGAGACACACAGTATTAACACCAATAGCCACATAAAAGTAAAAACTGAAAGAACTAAGGATGCTGTAAATCAGGAACAAAAACAGAAGGTACTGGAAAAGTTCAGCAGGTCTGGCAGCATCTCTGAAGAGAAATCAAAGTTAACGTTACAGGTCCGGTGACCCTTCCACAGAACAGTCCTGCTGAGCTTTTCCAGCGACTTCAGTTTTTGAGCCACATAATGTGCTCAGTTTTTCAACAGTGCCAAGAGTAACCTATCAAAAGATTACACACAGGAAACAAATATGAAGCATTGGCAATCATTCGTGGCAAAATCACTCATTTAAACAAAATGACGACTGTTAACAGCTCACATCATAAACATCTTGTGTGCATCATGAGTAGTAAAAGTAACAAGCAAATAGGGCACTCCAGAGTGTATCAGTCATCTATGCTGTGTTAACTAACCAGTGTTATAATAATTAAACAGCATTTTGATGAAGCTATTTCCTGCCTTGTTGATGCGTTGGAATTAGAAAAACAGAAGAACCTTTTAAATGAAGAACTTCCATCTCATTGAGGAGTCAGGCCAATCCCCATAAAACAACATGATATAGAAACTTTGCTCACACTTCAACAACTGTAACAAATTCCACTGCAGCAGCTGAGGCAGTCCATGACATTGTAAATAAAGCAACATTATTATTAAGAAAAATTAATGGATCATTTAACAAATTTCAGTTTCTGAATCAGAGTTGGCATTAAAAACTAAACAGTTCTTCCTTCCACCATATGGTGTATACCAGATTTTGTTGAAATTTGTCCTTTTTTTTTTGAGATAAATTGTCTACAGGCAAACTAGGAGGTGAAAACAGTATCTCTCCCCAACTTCAGCAGCAGATGTAATTAGCAGTGCCCAATACTGAGATGGGTCACTCTCATCTCAGACAACAGATAGAAGAAAAAAAGATTTGAACTTAGTACAGTCCTTATCTAGGTTCACTACATGGATTCCAGCGATGAAGGGTTTGTCTTATGGGGAGCACGTGCTAGCAAGAGCGCGGGCACAAATGAGAAAGACAGACAGAGACAGAGAAAGAGACAGAGTGCGCGAGCACACATTGTCTATACTGCTCAATAAAGTTCAGAAGAAGAGAATGAGGGGACATCTAATTGAGGTACAAAAGTTCTGAAGGGAATTGACAAAGTAGATTTAGAAAGGATATTTCCTCACGTGGGACAATCTACAGCAAGAGGCCATATAGTTTCAGGATAAAGGGTAGCAGATTTAAAACAAATACGAGAAGAAAATACTTCTCTCGAAGGGCTGTGAATCTCTGGAATTCGCTATTCCAGAATATGGTGGATGCCAGATCATTGAGTAAATTTGAGGAGGAGACAGACCACCTTTTAATTAATAATGGATTGAAGGATTATGGAGCGCACGCAGGCAAGTGCAGTTGAGACCAAGGTAAGATTAATCATGATTGTATTAAATGGCAGAACAACCTGCAGGGACTGAATTGTCCACTCCTGCTCCTCGTTCTTATGATCTCGTCTAAAATCTTCCCTTTGCACAGCCAACAGCTGAATGGACTTCATCACTAACAACATGCATTGATAAAATGGCTGTGCGTGATATCAATGTAGATTCTTGTTTGGTTTCAGTTAAAAATCACTTTCATACCTCTCACATGCACTGAAACAAGCTGAAGGCAAAATAACAGCCAGCAGAAACTCTTTCAAAAGAACAAATGCACTCCAGTACAAACATTTTCCACAGCAGTAAATTAAACCAATTAACTTGGATCAGAAACATCTAGGCTGTGTGGTGAAGATCACACCACGGAAATATTTTACACTAGAGTGTTCAGCTGAATGTCAACTTTAGAATACAAGTAGTAATTTTGTGGTTCTTGAAATTTTAATCTTTGGCACAATACCAGATGTTACTTTTTTTTGGATACAATGCTGCATGAGAGACATGTGCAATTTGTAAACTAGTTTAAAAAAAAAACACTCCTCAAAAGGATTTAGCACACTCAATCATAGGCAAATATTAAAGTCTCAACCCTTCTACAGGAAGAGGGGGGAAAAGATTGCCCCTTGCACCAAGCCTGACTAATTCTATAAAACATGAGTAATCAATTGATGACAAGTTAACCTTGCGAATCAGTTAATTATTCACAAGTTCAGCTAAAGAGCTCAATCGATACACACTAAAATAGTACACGAACAAACAGCAGAAAAGCATCACCAAGGATACATTATTATATTCAGGCAACGATAACACCAGTGCATTTAAATTTAGCAGAATATCAACTTCAGTTTGTCCAAAAGCTTAAAGCTATCAGATTATGATACATTAAATGTGTTCATGGTTAATTGAATGGCATTTTCTTGGATTTATTACACATGGCAGAAATTGGACTATTAGACTGCATTTAAATCCATGGCACTTGTGTTTCTCAAGTCTAAACTGTGCTCATGGAATCGAATCATGAGTTTAGACAAAATACTTATACGTTTTTGTCCAATTTGGAGTAGCATCTGATTTAATTTTGAAGAAGGTTTTTGTTAATCACAAAATCTGCAGAGTTAACCAAGGATTAAGAGAGAGTTCCATAAAATCAGGCTCTGCGACAGTTTTATACGTTAGGAAATACGAGGATCATCTTTCACCAACTTTCCCAAATACACTGTGGAAACCAAGATAAATAAAAATGATATAAATAGGAATGTTTTCAAGTTAGGAAATGACTGAAAATTTTTAGAAATGATAGATCAAGAAAAAAAATACAGATTTAAAATTTTGAAATGCAGCAGAGAATGTGAAAAGCAGGAATTGGGGTAGAGAACAAAGTGGAACTTTTTTTAAAACATTAAACTGTTTAAATAAGCAAGTCAGGATGACTGCTATAGCAAAGGATTTATTCTGATACTTTTAATGTTATGCTCACTTCATGTTATGGTTTGAGCTGAAAACTGAATGTGAGTCTACCAGAGAAACAGGAATCTCTGGGTTTTAAAACATTGAAACTTACACTTTGGTTGATTGGAAAAGTTGAGGCTTCTTAGCGGTTTACAATGAAAATTTAATTCAAAGTAGGATATAGTTTTAATTTAGCAAATTTACTCTTAAACAGGCTTTTATTTTTACAGCTTCACACTAACACTGTGCAATCACTCACCACAAATACACTGCTATTGATTGTTACCTGACAATAATACTGTCTACTGTATAGTTACTGAAACTGCAATGCAAAGCTAAGTACACTGCACACAGGGTGATTAAATACCCAATGAAGCTTCAAGAAAGTTGCAGCTGTGACCGCTCAATATGTCAACTGAAACTCAATTTACAGAAAGGCATTAAATTAAATAACACTCACTTTATAAAGCATAATTTTTACTTAAATGTCATACTTGTAAGACTATGTACTGTAGAATCAACAATAAAAACAAAATACTGTAACAATTTAGCAATCAAAATTGCCCATGTTTTATGTGGATCAAGAGAAGAGTCAAAGATTGTATCTGTCAATATGACACACTTTTCCAATAAATCAATATCTGGTCTGTACAAAAAAAATGGTTTGCCACCTTTTCTGAATATCTATCAATTTAAACATTAGTATATTGTTATGTTACTATGGCTTTAAGAGGTTGTTTTGTCCTGTTTTTTTATGGACGAGAGGTTTTAAGATAAAGGCGATGAGCAGTCTACTACAGCCACTGGAATAAACAGCTTGTGAGGCCTTGGGGTTTGGAACAATAGAAGCAGCCTGAATGGGTGTGGCCACACACACTCAGAACCAGAATTTTTAGCTTTAGTTTTCAGCAGTTGCTGTTGGGGTCTTGAGGTGGAAAGTTCACTTTATGCTGCAGGAGTTGCATGCCAGACAATCTGTTTTCTGAATGTGCCTTTTGCCAAGGGTACATTTATGGGATGTGACTATATTGGAACAATTAATTAGCAAAAGTTACTATCTATTATTCTGTTAAATTTTCCAATAGAGTTAAGTTATTCCAATTTCTTCTTTCTTTTGTTGTGTTTTAACTATAGTGGATGAATAAAGCAAGTTTTGCTCTAAATCTGGTAGTTTGACCAATCGAATTGCATCTGGAACACAACACTTTACATTTACCTTTAAAAGAAGAAAAAAAGTTGGGGTCTAGGCTACCTTCTTAATATATTTTGGGGGTGGGGTTTCTGCAAACAATCTGGCAGAGTCTGCAATGCCATAGTGCAGCTCCTAAGCTCCACATCAGGCCATGTTTAAAGGAGTTAAACACCAGGGCGCAAACCATCATCTTCCACAACAGAAGGATGCTAAGAATTTGTCAGAATATCAGCTTGTTATCTCAGAGGAAAAGCAGGTCAAGCTACTAAATGCAAACAAACTTCAATAAAGGCATCCGAACATATTTTATAGAAGCTGAAGATTTAGACTAATACTCTGAACCACAAGTCTATATTTTCGCTTTTATGTATATTTATAAATAATACATAACATTAAAAGAAACAAAACAATTAAAACTTGACCTGATTCTTAACTTCATTTCCCTGGACAGATGATTTAGGCTTCCGTGAACTTGACATACTAAGTGGTAACAAACCAAATCTGGAAACAAAGATTTATAGTATTGACATCACACACAAATTAGTTTACCTCTAAAGACAAACAATTATTGATCACAGCAAGTGAGAAAACTAATATGCATTAACTTAGCTGAATTGCTGGCCTGCTAATTTGTTCAGTGTCAAAGCAGAAATTGAGAGCTTATTTTTGTTTCAGCTACACATTTCACTTTTACCAAAGTCAGTTGACAAGCAGGCACATAGGGGATAGAATTTCTCACCAAAACCACTATGTAAAGTATAAACCCAGTGGTCGATGCGTACTAGCAGCATTATTCATCAAAATGTCATGTTCTTATTCTACTGGACCACTTAAAAAGGAACATTTTTCTGATACATTGGGACGACTTAATTTGAGAACTTCAGTTCGTGCCATCGACAATCAATATGATGCTTGTATAGTGCTGAAAGAGAACTTTAAAAATCAAGCAAAATTGATTTAGTGCAGATCCTATATTTACACGGCACATTTAACAATGTAAAATATCCCCAGGCATTTCACAGATGTGCTATCAAACAAAATCTAATCAGTAATCCTTCAGGGCAGACATCTGCTAGTTTCCAAATTGTTAAATTGTTACTGTCAAAGCCAATTTGTATTCATATATAAAGCAATACAGTTTCACTTTTTTGACATTCAGATTAAAATCAGATCAATCATACATATTTAACAACCTTAAAATTTATTGCAATTCTCAGCAGGAAACATGAAAATCTGCCGAAGTGTTCCACAGAACAACCCATTCGTGCCATACAAATGCAATGAATTCATTTACCTGATCTGACTGGAAGCCAGTGGTAAGATGTTATGAGGTTCTTGTGAGTTAAATGGTACACTTCTACTGGTGTATTGTTTCTCTGTGCCGGTTAATAACCCAAATAACACCTAAACAGAAAAATGTCTATTTACACAGTACTTTTCCACATCAATACAACATCTTCATGTCAGACACTCGAGGTCACTGAAGTTTTGGTGCATCACAGCACTGCTTTGGAAAGTTTTATATTTCTAACATGGTTATAGAGCTCAGGTATTCAATTTTGGGAAAAGACTTCCGGCCAATAAAATACATTTTCTGGAATTAGGGATTTAAGAGGACACTTAGGATACTGAAGGACAAGGAACCAACTTTGATCAGAGAGATTCGGGGAATGCAGAAGTAAGACTTGATACAGCAAAAATCAACAGATCCTTCTTCCATGCCAGATTTCTTAAAGTGAACTAGTTTCACTTGCCTGCATATCCGTCTAAACCTTTCTTATTCATATGCCTGTCCAAATGTCTTTTAAAATGTTGTACTTATACTCGCCTCTACCACTTCCTCTGGCAGCTCCCTCTGTATACGCACCATCCTCTGTGTGAGAAAGTTGCCCCTCAGGTCCCTTTTAAACCTTCCTCCTTTCACCGTAAACCTACGCCCTCTAGTTTTGAACTCCCCTACCCTTGGCTATTCATCCTATCTACACCTCTCATGATTTTGTAACATGAGCCCTCAGCTTTCTACACTGTAGGGAAAAAAGTTCCAGCCTAGTCTAGAGTCTCTCTCAGAAAATAAATAGTGGTAGAATATAAATAATAACATTTGCAAAATTTAAATCAGGTAATGCGAAATATAGTGCAAAACCTGAAGGAGCGAAATGAGCAATTACAATAGCTTTTCCACTTATCATAGCATTCATGTATATTTTCTGATAAAGTATGCATTTTAATTCTACTTTCTGTACCGTACCTCAGAAGGGAAACAAAAGCATGTAACTCCATTCCTTTATCATACAGTCAACCCTGTGCTTTTGGGACCAGTCAAACACAAATTATGGCAATGGCATGGCAATGAACTTACCCTTCCTCAAATTTGCTCATCAATTCAGATTAATTAAGAAACTGACCCAATAGTCCAGCCAAATTTGAAAAAGACAAGAAAAAGTTATCCTGAACTTGGCTACTCTCTACTTACTGAGGTTCTTTGCGAAAGTTTGTTCAGATTGTTGTTAAGGTGTGGAGTAAAAACATCCAAATCAAATGGATCAATATAGCTTTCCAATGTATCAGCTACTTTCTGAACCCTGATTCAGAAAACAAAGAAGCATATCGACCTTAATACCTGAATTGTCCAATATCACAAGCATATAAAAGTAAGAATATTAAGTGGAATAACTTTGCTACTTAAAAGGAGGTTCAGTACCTCGGGTCCTGCTGGATCCTACTGCTTTTTACCTCTTCATTTCTGGCCGTTAAAATTGAACCAAGATACCGAAGATCAAAAAGCAACTGCAGAGCTCTATTCTGGGTTAAAGGGAATGCAGAATCACCCTGAAACAGAACAGGAGAAAAAAAAATTAAAAAAAAAAAAAAAGAGTGCTGCCAAAGTAAGCAGGATCTTTGGGTGTAATCAGGAACTAGCAATTTTGAAACAGCATTCACCTTACTATAAATCAAACAAAAGAAGAATTATTTGGGGCTGTACAGAGTTTTATAAAAAAAGTGTGTTGTACTTCACATAAGGCTCGGAGTGAACTAGATGCGTTTAGAGAAAGTTTAAGATATTCTGATTCTGTGTCAGGATTACATACTTTATCCCAAAAAAATGGAGATTAGAAGGGTGCAGTAGTGATTGTAACAAGGTCAGCCAGATGGAACTCACTGAATGAGTTCCTCAACTGGGGCTGTTAATGCGGTCCAGTCAGGGGGCCCTGGCTGACAGATAAGGAGTGTCAGAGGTTCTCTTCACTCAGAGCTGGCTCAGAAGGATTTGGATCAGTGTCAAGGACTCTCCATGTGTAAAATGAAGGGTGACTTGGTGATGGAATAATGGCCCCTGAGGAGTTAGTTGAGGTGGCATATAAAGCTTTGGAAATATCATAAGTTTAATCTTTTGTTGCAGTAAATTTCTGAAAATAATACTTTGGAATATTCTTAAGAATTATTCCCACACCACTAATGTGACTTTAGCAAAAATAATACCAGTAGGATAATGGTCAACATCACAATCTCTTATATTTGAATTTAAATGACAAAATAAAGACAATGGTCTGTTGTGTGGATGCAAGATCTGCAAAGTTAAAGTAGTCTGTTTTTAAATATATTTTCATGGGATGTGGATGTTGCTGACAAGACAATGCCCATCCCCAACTGCCCATGAATGGGTAGCTTGTTAATTAATTTCAGACAGCAGCTAATAAGTCAACTGGGTTGGAGTCACAGTGGTCAGAATGGCAGATACCCTTCTCTAAAAGGCATGCATGCATGCATGCAGCTTTTTTTGAAGGACAACCGGTAATATTTTAAAATTATTTTCGCTCCAAATCTTATTAATGGAATTTAAAATTCTACCAATTGTTATCGCTGGATTTGAACCCACGTTTCAGCTGGGCCTCTGATTACCAGTTTTATATAAACAATTGCAGAGAAATCAGCAACTAATCCTATACAAAACATACAGCAAGTTGATGTGAGAATTGCTATCACCACCGTGAACATAATCAGTGTTGGGTAAGAATGGCTACACATTCAGTCCCTGGGGAATAGCGAGACAAAAGGAAAGTAAGTTGCACTATCCCACTGAAATTAAAGATAGTGTAGTTTTTTTTTCACACGTTATCAATCAATAAATGAGGATTGGGCTGTTTCCTATTAATAAAGTGAAGGACCCAATTCTTCGTGTTTACTCATAGAATCTCTACAGTGCGAAAGCAGGCCATTCGGGCCATCTGGTCCACACTGACCTGCAAGAGCATCCCAAACAGTCCCCTACCCTATCCCTGTAACCCTGCATTCACCGTGGCTAAACCGCCTAATCTACACATCTCTGGACACTATGGGACAATTCAGCATGGCTAATCCACCCTAACCTGCGCATCTATAGACTGTGGGAGTAAACCCACGCAGACAAGGGGACAATGTGCAAACTCCATAGACAATCCCCCGTGGGCGACTCACCAAACTGATCTGAATAAAAAGCAAAAGGATGGACTAAAAAAGGAATTGCAGACAATGACACATACCGAAGTTCAAAAAACTAAGAATCACAAATCTCACTGAAGAGCATTTTACCTCTTAGGATTTTGCCCTAATACTTTGTGTAGTTATATTGCAGTTAAACTACTAATTAGAGCAATACCAACAATGACCTGGTAAGGTTTTTTAAAAAAAATACGCACCTTATCTAACTTTGCAGAACACAATGTTTCATAACCAGTAAGCACCTCATCCAAACAAGTCTTCAGCAACTCCTGAAGCGTAACCTTAGGAAGAGCGTGACCTCCAACCCGGTTTACTTCTTGGCATAACTGAAAGAGCAGCGACTGTACATACCAAGACGGCTGGCAAACAAAAACCAAAAGACACAAAGCTAATTCAGTGTCAGAATAATAGTTGATTGTTCTTGAAAAGTTAAATTACTGAAGATAATCAACATCCCAAGTGGTATAGTGATTATAGGTAGTTCTCGTATAGGTAGTACGATAGTTGCGTTCTTGTGCAACCTTGCGCTATAGAAAATCGCATCATAAAGGAACTTGCTTTACTGTACAGTAAAAAGTTCACATTATCCAAACAACGTTCACTATTCATCAATCGCGTTACAGCCAATTCGCGTTAACGAAACACACGTTATAGCGGAAATACCTGCACTGGAAAAGTAAACATGGCAACCAAAAATTTTCACTTCTCACCTCTCAACACATTTCTTGAAATTAAAATGCAAGGAAGAAAAATACGCATATCGTTTGCAAGTTTACAAAAGACCAAACTGCAAAGAACTGTCATTTTGACAGACCATCTATAAAACTTTCCAAATAAGCTTTTAGAAAATTATTATTACTTGGAGCAGTTTTATCATTGAAGAAGGTGTCTCAGAGAAGTTACTAAGTTTGATAGGAGGAAGATGAGATGAGTGAACTCCAACAACAGTGGTTTGATCTGACGTATCTTAACAATACAATCATATCAATTATAATTAATTCAGTTCCTTTAGTTAAGCCTTGCAACAGTTGGAAATTTCATTAAAAGCTCAGCAGTACTTGTGAAATACTTGGAAACAGACACAAAATGTCAAAACAAATTACAATTCTTTGATACAACTGATTTTTAAAAATGGTGTTCCAATAAAGGGATGGAGTGGTACTATAAATTAAGACATTGATTTTTACTTCCAGCACCTGGAGGCAAATCCACGAAGACTGAACTGCCATTTATGCCAACCTGAATACAAATCAGGTGGAGCAGTGGAACTCGAGGCAACGGCTCAGAACGTATAAAATGATAAGCATACAGGCAAAACAAAAGGTAGATCAGCTAATATAGACAATTATGGAATGTTGGACATAGGAAGGAGAAACACAATGTGCATATCTCACAAATAGATATGGATGAAGGGGAAATAACCTAGGAGTGTGAATAGACTTGACATTAACTATGTCCTATGAATGTTGAACAGCCGTCAACAAAGCCAAAAAGGATATTGAACTACAGAACCAGAATAAAGATTGAACCTTGAGGCATGTAATTGTAAAACGTGGATAAGATTGTTAAGGATATAGAGAAAATCAAGCCAGAATACTACTTTAGATTAAGGCATGGCTACCAAAGTGAAGAAAACTAATCACACCAAAATCCATCAATTTCAGGAGAGTTCATTTTCTCAAGGAACAGCTTAGACTATGAAGGGTGCATCCAAACAACTAACAGCTGTGAAGTCAGCATGCAGTAAGCAGTCACATACAAGACCAAAATTCTTTCAGATAGTAAACTAGGGAAGTTAAAATACATTGATTATCCTTTGTTTTTAATTTACATTTTCAAGTAGTGAAATAAGTGATTGGATTAAGATTAGATTTAAAATATTGAAAGTTTTGAAGTATATAACTTTACATGTTGTCATTATGAAGGAATATAATATTCCACAAATATAAAACTAGTTTTTCCAAAACAGCAAGTTTGTAACAGTAATTATGAACTAGCAACACATGAAAAACCCGTCAGATTTCATTCAATGAAGTTTAATTTTTTTTCATAGGTTTTTATGCCAACAGCATTAAAGGAGTCAATTCATTATTTTGGGATTACATATAACAGGGACCTAAACAGCATACTGTGGAACGAATAACAGCCTTTAGACTGTGTTCATCAGTGGATATACCCTGTGTTAGAAAGGGTTCCTCAAATATGGGAGCATGATTAACCTTTCTGTACAGACTTGGATATTCAAGAGTTACAAGTGGTGAAGTGAACAGAAGACCAAGCGTTCACAAGCCCTTCTTTTCTTTCCCAACTCTGGCTATTTCATTAAACTCACAACCGGACCGATCAAGTCTCATGGGAGGAAGAGAAAGAACCAGGCTGAATGGAACTGTTGTCCATCAGTAAGGCATGTTTTCAAGCAAGGTTAAAAAAAAAAAAAATCATGTCACGTATCCTAAAATAACTCATATTTGTAATCTACCTTCTTCATATCAGGGCCCCATTTGCTCCCAGCTTTAAAAATCAGTAAAGATGCAAAAGGCTCCTTCTTAAATGTAATGCCCAATTCACAATCATCAGATTGAACAGTTCAATCTTAGTGTAATAATTATTTATATAATTTTACATTTCAATCCTGTATTGCGCATATTGTCAGGGTTTATGTTCTCGTTCATCTACAGTACCGATAGATTAGATTACAGACATCTGTGGTTTCACATTACTTTGAGCACTACTTTTATTGCCTCAGAAATAGCCCAGCAAATTCCAGCAGCAGTCAAGCAACAGTTGTACTTTACTATAAATAACAGTAGGGATCATTAATTGTGAACTAATGAACATCTCACACTTCGTGCTACTTTCTGCAATTATTCTAAATTCTACCCTAATCATCATCAGAAATAAAGAATGTGCGTCATTGGTTAAAATTCTCTCCAGTTTACAAAAGATGAATGACTCAACTCAACAGTATTGGAATAAAACAAAGAACCATGGATAATGAAAATCTGAAACAATAGTATTGGAAACTGGGGTCAATTTCTACCCATCTCGAAAAAATGTTGGGATTTAATTCATCGTACATACAACAAAATCCTTATGAGAAAATAATAATTATTCATCCTAGTAATTGTGGCTACCATCATCAACCCAACTTCCGCCCACCTTGGCAACAAATTCAGTTAATTTTGAAATGACCCTTTACATTTTTTTTTTGGGGGGGGAGCGGATGGAGGTGGAATGAGGGAAAGAGCAGCGAGACAAAAAGAGAGTGAAAAAAATAAGTAAGTGCCAGAAGAGAAGTCAACATTTAGAAACTAACCTCTCAGTCTTACTGGTAAAGTTATCAGAATAATTAAATGGAGGCTTTATCAAAATAAAGTCAAAAATCAGAAAATGCAGGTATTAAGAAAGGCCATAAAAGTAACTACAAGTCTGTTGTGTTTTAAATATAGAGAAGAAAAAGAGATCTCTAACGAGTTCCAACACAGAAAAATGAACAATTATTCAAACCTGTACAGGAAGACGAATTTTGGATGTAACACTATTTCCAGCTTCTGTTTCCTCCTGAATTTCAATTTCATCCCAGTTGGTGGCTGTAGATAAAATGGCTCCAGCTGTATGAGAGAGCAACGTTCGAGTGAAATGGTAAACAAGAGCCTTAAAGAAAGAAATCAAATTTAAGTGTTATAAAGGAACAAGACAACCAGGAAATACAAAGATTCATTCTTACATCAATTTTAAAGTAAAAACTGGTGTTTGTATTCAGTTGTAACAATCAAAATGTACCATGATTTGCAAAACACAATATTAAATCTCAGTATAAATGTGCCCATAATTCTAGAATTTCACTATTTAAGAATTACTAAATACTACAATCTTCACATTTCTAAATATTTATCTAATCCAGTGAAGAATAACACAATCATCAATCCAAACATTTTGCAGACAGCTGTATTTAAAAGTCCTCCATTCATGACATGTGGCCTTCAGTTATTATAAACATTTACAGCCAAGCCACTAACACCTCTCAAGACAGTTCATTTCATAAATGTTGCTCAGGCTGAACTATAATTAATCAACACCCCTATAATGGCAGAGCCCTTAGGTGCAACCAACTCTCCTGCATGATCATTAAGCCACATGAAGTCATAGCAATCACTTCGTATCGGGTGAAGATTGTAGAAACCAGATGCTGTTAGTAGCGTACTAATTGCAAGATCACGCTGATTTTAAACTGATCACTCAGCAAAATTCTCCTTGTTTTACTCAGCATTCACTAATGAAATCAAAATTTTACTTGAGTGACAGTACCATTGCTCTCAGAAGTGTTTACCTTCCAAATCCTGTAAATTATTCAATTATTTGACAGTTTTGAAAGTTGAAAGTTAACATTATGATTCTCAAAAGCCAGTTTATTACACTACCTTTTTCATTATGATGCAAAAAGCTTTAATTTCAGTAATCTAAAAGATAATAGGATAAAACTTTATCATTGGAATAGGATTCCTTCATGTAAAGCTTAATGCGACAATGTGGATATATTGATGAGTATATTATTAGAATAAAATACGTTACGAAGGTTTGAGTTCCCAAATTCCTGTTAAAATGATCTTTTACATTGCAACATGATTTTGATAAACAAGATGGAAGATGCAATAAAAGGAAAGCAAGCAGCTGCCAGCCCATACAACAGAAACCTTCCTCCTTTTGTTCTCTGTCTCGAGCATTCAGTTACACAGAGACTCCTCGGTAATGGGAAGTGACTGGATCGGTGTTTCAGATTTTTTTTTATAAAATTCCTTCCAACAGTGTTGGCAATCACTGACTCGTCTATGTCGGGACACCGTGAACTTCACTATTGATTTATATCGTTATAAAAGCGGAATGAAATCAGCAGCAATAAAACCACATTTCTAATACAGATCCATCACTTGTTAATAAGCATTGATACAGCAGCAGATGTGGACAATGGACTCATTATAAAACACACTTTCTGCTGCAAAAAGAAGAATTCCAGGCAGACTCTTGAAAGAATGATCAGTATCTCTCACAATGAGATAACAAATAGAACAGATTAGGTGCTAGTGGAATTGTTCAAAGTGAACAAAAACCATGAATATATATGTTTTAGATGATGAAAATAAGTCAGACTAAAGAAGAAATTGACCATTGTTGTCTGAGATTTGCACAACCATAAATTTAACAGAAATGGCTTATGATAAATTTTAAAAATGTACTATATGCAATCCATTCTTCCAATTAATATTTAATTGCCAATTTTTCACTCAATCTCCAGTCTGACGCTTCCACTGCATCTATTTTCCTAGGTACATTTAATTCAAAATCACCAACTTAGACAAAGGAAAGCCAATGGACTTGATCTACTTGGATTTACAGAAGGCCTTTGACAAGGTGCCTTACATTAGGCTGCTAAGAGCCTATGGTGTTAGTGACAAAGTACTGGCATGGATAAAAGATTGCCTTTTGCCAGTCAACCAGAGGATAGGGATAAATGGGATCTTTTTCAGGACGGCTGGCAGACTGGTGGAGTTCCACAGGTGTCAGTTTTGGTACCACAACTATTCGTGTCACACATTAACGATCTGGATGAAGAACCTGAGGGCATTGTTGCTAAGTTTGCAAATAATATAAAAGTAGGTGGAGGGACAGGTAGGTGTTGCGAAAGTGGGAGGCTGCAGAAGGACTTGCACAGGGTAGGAGAGTGGGCAAAGAAGTGGCAGGTGGAATACAAAGTGGGAAAGAATAAGGTTATGCACTTTGAGAATAGAGGTGTAGGCTATTTTCTAAATGGGGAAAGGCTTCAGAAATCTGAAGCACAAAGGGACTTGGGAGTTTTCACTCAGGATTATCTCAAGGTAAATATGCAGGTTCTGTTGGCAGTTAGGAAAGCAAATGCAACATCAGCATTCATTTTAAGAAGGCTAGAATACAGCAGCAGAAATGAAATGCTGAGGCCATATTAGGCTCTGGTCAGACCATATTAGGAATATTTTGAGCAGTTATGGGTCCCAGATCTAAGGAAGGATGTGCTGGCCTTGGGAGGGGTCCAGTGAAGGTTCACAAGAACGATCCTGGGGATGAAGGGCTTGTCATATGAGAGGCAGTTGAGGACTCTGGGTCTGTACTCCATAGAGTATACTCTAGCAGAAATATTAGTAAATGTTCATACTGCCTTCCTGCCCCACTCTTTCTAAACTTCGGTTACACTTTTGAGCAGAAATATGAAAATCTGAATTCAAATAACTATTTTCTTAAAAGGGTTTCTAATGAATAAAAGCAAAAAAAAACTACCAAAGAAAATAGGTAAAAGTAGTCACTTACCTTTGATATGGTAACATTCCAAATCCTGTAAGCACTAGTGCTCTGTTGCAACAGCTGATCCTTTACTTCCTGCCACTTGGCCTGTGCTGGTTTCACTTCTTGTGCCTTCCCCTTGCCCAGCTTCTTGACTGGACGGGGTTCACGTACAAGCTGATCATTACTACTCGACCTACCCCAAATACACTGCTTTAGGTGAGGGCAGAGTTCTCCTATGGATTGACATAACCGTGCCATGAAAAGAACAGCATTGAGATTGCAATCCTTCGGAGAGTATACGCAATTTTGCAATCCTTCTTCTGCAGTTTTAAGCTCCACTTTCACACAGTCCAGGATATATTGTACACAAGAAAGGCAATGTGTCCGTAGCATTTCTTCAACCTTAGCTGTATCAGCGTACCTATCAAATGCGGAATTCTGTAGCTGCAAGGATGAGTGGTCATTTGAATTGTCCTTAACAGTAGAAGAATCTGGCGGAAGGTACATGACTAAATCATCCAATTTAACTTTTAATTTGGAGTCAAGTGCAGAACAGAAACTTTGAATGCAAAGTGTGAGAGCTTGGGCCTTCATGGAGAGTCCACTCTTTACAAACTGGCTACGATTTGCAATGCTGACCCAGGCAGTGTCTGATAAAAGGTCATTACTGCTCTCTGACCAAAGAAATGCAGCAACATTGTACTCAAACTCAACAGCTTTATTCAGAAGAACATCGAAGTTCTTAACATGAAGATCCTGCAGAGCTGAAACTAACAGCTGCTTGGAACTGTTCGAGATGGAATCCAGACCTTCTTTTGTCAATGCCTATTAACAAAAAAAATTGAAAAGGGTTTCATTATGTGTCTAGTAGAACCAAGATCCCCAATGCCACCCACAACAACCATTTTGTTAATGTTACTTAAACTTAGAATTTTACAAACTAAGATACAGTGTTCCTTTATTTTGATCTCACTTTGACACTAAGTATTTTAAATACAATTTTAACAAACTTACACACTTAAGCCTTAAATGAACACCAAACTAAAGAAGGCGCCACTGCAGCAGCCACCAAAAGCTTGTCAAAAGATGTAAGTTTCACAAGTGATCTTCATGGAGGAGAGGAAGTTAAAGAGGCAAAGAATTTTAACAGAGTTCCAGATCATGGGAGACAACAAGGTGCAGAGCCGGATGAACACAGCAGGCCAAGCAGCATCATAGGAGCAGAAAGGCTGATGTTTCGGGCCTAGACCCTTCATCAGAAATGGGGGAGGGGAAGGGGGTTCTGAAATAAATAGGGAGAGAGGGGGAGGTGGATAGAAGATGGATAGAGGAGAGGATAGGTGGAGAGGAAACAGACAGGTCAAAGAGGCGGGGATGGAGCCAGTAAAAGGTGAGTGTAGGTGGGGAGTTAGGGAGGGGATAGGTCAGGCCAGGGAGGACGGACAGGTCAAGGGGGCGGGATGAGGTTAGTAGGTAGGAGATGGGGGTGCAGCTTGAGGTGGGAGGAGGGGATAGGTGGGAGGAAGGACAGATTAGGGAGGCGGGGACGAGCTGGACTGGTTTTGGGATGCGGTAGGGGGAGGGGAGATTTTGAAGCTTGTGAAATCCACATCAAGTAGATGTTCACCTGCACATCTGCCAATGTGGTATACTGCATCCGCTGTACCCGTTGTGGCCTCCTCTACACCGGGGAAACCAAGCGGAGGCTCGGGGACCGCTTTGCAGAACACCTACGCTCGGTTCACAATAAACAACTGCACTTCCCAGTCGCGAACCGTTTCAACTCCCCCTCCCATTCCTCAGACGACATGTCCATCCTGGGCCTCCTGCAGTGCCACAACGATGCCACCCGAAGGTTGCAGGAACAGCAACTCATATTCCGCTTGGGAACCCTGCAGCCCAATGGTATCAATGTGGATTTCACAAGCTTCAAAATCTCCCCTGCCCCTACTGCATCCCAAAACCAGTCCAGCTCGTCCCCGCCTCCCTAACCTGTTCTTCCTCCCACCTATCCCGTCCTCCCACCTCTAGCCGCACCCCCATGTCCTACCTACTAACCTCATCCCACCCCCTTGACCTGTCCGTCCTCCCTGGACTGACCTATCCCCTCCCTAACTCCCCACCTACACTCACCTTTACTGGCTCCATCCCCGCCTCTTCGACCTATCTGTTTCCTCTCCACCTATCCTCTCCTCTATCCATCTTCTATCCACCTCCCCCTCTCTCCCTATTTATTTCAGAACCCCCTTCCCCTCCCCCATTTCCGATGAAGGGTCTAGGCCGAAACATCAGCCTTTCTGCTCCTATGATGCTGCTTGGCCTGCTGTGTTCATCCAGCTCTGCACTTTGTTGTCTCGGATTCTCCAGCATCTGCAGTTCCTACTATCTCCAGATCATGGGGCTTGGATGTAGCAGACAAAAGGTACTGCTGATGAGACAATGGCAGGGGGTTCATAAAAGAGCAGTTCCTGAAGAACCGCGTCTGGGAGAGACAGCGGTTGGAGGAGGAGGAGAGTTGCAACATTAAAGGAGGGGAAATAATAGTGATCGGGTGGTGGGAGTTCATGCATGGAATTTTAGCGCAAGGATAAGAATTTAAAATTTGATTTCTTGAACAGACTGGGAGCTAATTTAGATTGGTGCAGACAGAAGTGAGGGAAGAGCAAGTGCTGGCGCAAAAGACATAATATAGTTACAGATGAAGTAAGTTTTACAGAAGGAAAAGTATAGATGGGTAGGTGGGAAAACTTTGGGATGGGGTATGGAAGTCAGAAGGTTGGATGCTTTTCAACAGTGGATAGGTTAAAGCAGAAATGGTTAAAATTACAGGTGTGGATGCACTTGTTCTTCATGATGGAGAATGTAAATTTGGAAGCACAGCTTAATCTCAAGTAGGACATCAACATGGCAAACAACCTGGATCAGCCCAAGAAAGTGACATCTCTGCAGAAATAAAGATAACAACCTTGCTCCTATCTTAAACACGAAGTGGCTTTGTTCATTAACTTCAGAAAATGTGAAGAGTCATCCCTGGATGAATCAGATACTCTGCATCTCTTTGTTATGCTAAATTGGACAGTCCAGTGGTTGGCACTCCAACAGTCCAGATGGGAAGGTTAGGAAGATTGGCCATACGAAATTGCCTATAGTGGCCAGGTATGTGCAGCTGGGTAAATGCAGGGTTACAGGGATTTTGGATGGGTGGGGAGCTCTTCACAGGATCGGTGCAGACCTGAAGGGCTGAATGGGGATTCTAAATTGCTGGCAAATGAAAAATAAAACATAACTTCTTGAACATTTTAGAAATTGTAATGTAGACTAATGCAGATGTAAATTAATTCTCTCAACAATGAAACCAACTTCTGTGATTATTACAAGGGCCACAAAGAAAGTGGATCATATCCTTTCCTAAATACACAGATCCAAGCATAGATTTATAGCATGAGCCAATGTACATCAGTGATTTGAACAGTGAAAATAAAATATAGTAACATTATTGCAAAATTAAGCAGCCAGACATTCAGCCCACCAAGTCTGCATTGATTCCACAGGATCATGGTTGATCCGCCACCTCAATATCATACTCCCATTCTCTCCCCATATCCCTCGACACCTTTAGTGTCCATAAAACTATTCTTTCTTAAATACATTCAGTGACTTGGCCTTCAAAATTTTGTGGCAAAGTATTCCACAGGTTCCCCACTGAAAGAAGGAACTTATCCTCTACATAACACTGAATGGCATTTCCAGTAACCTGAGACAGTGACGCCTTGTTCTAGTACATGCATGGAATTTTAGCACAAGGATAAGAATTTAAAATTTGATTTCTTGAAAATTTTGTAAATTTCTGAGATCTCCTACCATGCTTCTGAACTTCGGTGAAGATAAGCACAGTTAACATAATTTCTTCTCATACTCAGTGAGAGAAAGAACCTAAATCTCTAAAAAGCACAACGCTTGCTTGCATTTGATAGGAGACGTCTTGATGTTAACTACCTGTAACCTGTCAAGGAAGAGCTGCTGAAGGAAGTCCTCCCAGAACGAGAAAGGTTTCTCTAATAGTCGGCTGCACAGAGTTTCCCAATTCTGACTTATTGATTCACTAGTTAGGAGTTCCCACACTGCATCTCGAATTCCAGCAAGACCCTTCAGACTTTTCACATAGATCAGCAGGTTCCCAATTCCAATCTTTATATCATCCTTACACCTTTATTTAAAAAAAATGAAAGAAAGTCTAGATCAGGTGTAGAAAGTTAATTGCATGTAATCTAAATATTATAATTAAACATAGCATATAGAACAAACATTTTGTTTTTAAAAACTACCTCCTATTTGCAAGATCTAAACTTATATACTTCTGTTAACAACTAGCTTTTGAAATTGCAATATTGGTATCCTGCATTCAGTTTTGCTGTTAAGTCTCAACATTTGTGTCTTTGCAATTTGAAAATTTGCTTATCCACACAAAACGTTCTGTACACCATTTCATCACAACCCAATGTTTGTTTAAATACAGTTGTCATAGAAAAAAATTTTGCAGAAAATGACAGATTATTTAAATGAATGGAACAAAACGAAGACATGGAAGATATGCACGTGCACTGTCTGTAATGTTGCTTATTTGAGAGTGTTTGCATGTAGGTTTTCGTTGTCATGGGGTTGGTTAGCTCAGTTGATGGACTGCTGATTTGAAACGTATAGTGACTCTACCAATGCTGATTTAATTCCCATACTGGCTGAGGTTACCATGGAAGTCCCGCCTTCTCAATGTCTCCCCTTGCCCAAGGTGTGATGCTCCTCAGGTTAAATCATCACCAGTCATCTGTTCGCTAATGAGCGCGCAACCCTATGGTCCAGGACGATGGCAACTTTACTCACATTCTCATTGCTATGGCAATTTCATTTGTAATTTAATAAGGGCAAGTGTAACATATTTTATGTTTGTTTTATTTAAAGTAAATTCCAACAGGGCATCTCTGTTTTTTAAAAGCACTGTTTTATCGTCTATCTTCTGTAGAAGAACTTAACACCAGTGAATGGCAACATTTTTCTGTACTGGCTATCATAATGGAGATTTCAAGATGGGGGCATGTTTTTAAGGTGAGAGGAGAGATTCAAAAAAGACATGAGGAGCAAATTTCTTACACAGAAGGTGGTTCACATGTGGAATGAACTTCCGGAAGAAGTGGTGGATGTGGTACAATTACCATGTTTAAAGACACTTAGATAAGTACACGAATAGAAAAGGTTTGGAAGAATATGGGCCAGGTGCAGGCAGGTGGGACTATTTTAGATTGGGATTATGTTCAGCATGGACAGCTTGGACTGAAGGGTCTGTTTCCATGCTGTATGACTTTATAATGCAAAAACATGATCTAACTACTAGATAGCTCTGTAGAGCAAAATTCTAAAATCCTTGCCATTCCATTACCAACTTGTACATAAAACAATTTATACACAACACTAATGGCATGGAAATTTGTGATAATGAAAACGATGCTCTTATCCAAGATAGGTGCTAAAGCAGATGCCAAGAACAAGCTAAGCATGTCATTATTATAATCCTATACCGGTGGTAAAAAAGTGTGTCTGTAAATAAAATTTCCAATCTAGTTTATTGCTGTGTACATTTCTCTCTTACAACAGAATTAGTTCACATCAGTTTGACTCAATGGCAGCACACTTGATAGGTGAGGTGCCATGGGCTTAAGATAAAAGGACAATATAGCATGCATTGTGAGGAGGAAAGTTTCAATTTTCAATTTGAATGAACTGTACTCCTTATATCAGAGGATCCCTACAGTGTAGAAACAGGCCACTCAGCCCAACAAGTCCACACCACCCCCTCCAAAGAGCATCCCACCCAGACCCACCCTTTCCCTGTAATCCTGCATTTCCCATGTCTAATCCACCTAATTTACACACCCTTGGACACTATGGACATTTTAGCATGGCCAATCCACCTGACCTGCACACCTTTGGACTGTGGGAGGAAACCAGAGCACCCGGCGGAAACCCACGCAGACACAGGGAGAATGTGCAAACTCCACATAGACCGTCGCCCAAGGGTGGAATTGAACCCAGGTCCCAGCTGCTGTGAGGCAGCAGTACTAATCACTGAGCCACCGTGCCGCCCTAAGCTGGTTTGATATATACATATCAATCCAATGAAATGAACTAATTGCCAATTTCCTTTCATAAATAAATGCAGTTTGATCTCAGATCATATTCAGAAAATAGTAGTTTAACTCCATAGGTAAACGCAGTTTGATTTCACTGGAGAAAAGAGAGCATTTTGAATTTACACATAACTAAAGGATTATTGTATGTATGATGCTCATTCTAAATTTTGTTTGCATTGGAAGGGCTACAAACTACTCTGTACAGTTCATTTGTCAAAAGTCACAGCTAACATAACCCTGCAATTTCTCCTAAAGACCTGCACAGCTTATGTATTTCAGTTACGATGCTTTCTGGTTTGATGCATGGCTGCGCATCCATAGGGAACCAACAGAGTTATGTAATAAGCAGTCTAGCACACCCCAAGCAGATCTCTGCTCACTTTAAACAGGTATGTCTACGCACAGAAATGTGGGCATCTCTTTGGTTTAAAAAGCACATCTGGATAAAGTTTGTGAAATTTCTACACAAACTTCTCATAAATAATTTTGAAAATGACCAGACACTGCTAAAGGCTCAAAATAGGAGAAACAAGCACACAAAGGGGAAAAATGGGAATGAGGTAAATAGCAAGTAGTAAAAACATCCAAACAGCCTTCATTTTCAAATTGAAAAAATAATTTCTGGGCTCTTTGGATTTGCTATTATTGCTAAATTCTGCAGTTAATCCACAAACTTTCTTATTCCAATCCCACTGGTTTTCTGCTCTTCAGTGTACAACATGCAAATAAAATTCAGTGGATTACATGTTGATCCATTGCTGAAGAGTGTCTCTCAGGTAGTCATGATTTATTGGATGAGCAAGAGTTCGCAGTGAAGGCTGAAAATCCACAATAGATGGTGGCAAGTACTTGAACCAGGACTCAGATTTCATCTCCTCTTTTAACACTGTGATTCCTTTATCTGTAAATGTGAAAGACAAAGATGTGCTTAATTGCTTGTGAACACAACCAAAAGATTCTCACCAACATTTCCAAATGACCACTGTAAATGAAAGTAATGATTTCTATCTCAGAAAACTGCATTTAAGACTACAGCTCTCATACAAGTGATTTTAACATGATAGAATGCAATGCTGGTGCTAGTGTTTTTTTCTTCCAGTGTAGCAGGATCAATTAGTTTCAAATTATACTACAGACACTTCTAAATCCTGGTGTACTCATTAGCACAAACTCATGCTGAAGCATCTTTCCTTGATTGCTTCTATCCTTTGCATTCTAGTATCTCATGCAAGCAATCATGTAGATTAAGACAGAAACCAAACAAGTAGATCACAAGTGGCCCCAAGAAGACTTTCCACATCAAGCAGATGTTCACCTGCACATCTGCCAATGTGGTATACTGCATCCGCTGTGGCTTCCTCTACATCGGGGAAACCAAGCGGAGGCTCGGGGACCGCTTTGCAGAACACCTACGCTCGGTTCGCAATAAACAACTGTACCTCCCAGCCGCGAACCGTTTCAACTCCCCCTCCCATTCCTCAGACAACATGTCCATCCTGGGCCTCCTGCAGTGCCACAACGATGCCACCCGAAGGTTGCAGGAACAGCAACTCATATTCCGCTTGGGAACCCTGCAGCCCAATGGTATCAATGTGGATTTCACAAGCTTCAAAATCTCCCCTGCCCCTACTGCATCCCAAAACCAGTCCAGCTCGTCCCCGCCTCCCTAACCTGTTCTTCCTCCCACCTATCCCCTCCTCCCACCTCAAGCCACACCCCCATCTCCTACCAACTAACCTCATCCTGCCCCCTTGACCTGTCCGTCCTCCCTGGACTGACCTATCCCCTCCCTAACTCCCCACCTACACTCACTTTTACTGGCTCCATCCCCGCCTCTTCGACCTGTTTGTTTCCTCTCCACCTATCCTCTCCTCTATCCATCTTCTATCCGCCTCCCACTCTCTCCCTATTTATTTCAGAACCCCCTTCCCCTGCCCCTTTTCTGATGAAGGGTCTAGGCCTGAAACGTCAGCCTTTCTGCTCCTATGATGCTGCTTGGTCTGCTGTGTTCATCCAGCCCTGCACCTTGTCTCGGATTCTCCAGCATCTGCAGTTCCTACTATCTCTCTCCACCCCCCCCGCTTCTTGTGTGAAGTGACAGATAATCTCCCAGTAGCTGGTCTCACTCACTATCTCCTTGTAAACTGCTCTCTCTACAAACTATTTATTGAAAAAAAAAAGAAAGGGGACAAACCTCAGTCTTTGAAAGAGGCAAATTCTCAACCAGTGGAAGACAGCATCGGAATGCAAACAATCTCACCTCATCAGCAAATAACCGACAGCGAACGGACAGGACCAAACAACTCCAACTCATGTGGTCCAAACTGGAGCTATCAAATTCTTTCTTCTTGATTGTTTCAAACCCTTAATATTTTGACTCTTTAGCGAGTCTGTATATCAATGTAATTTTTAAAAAGTGGTACAGTTTAAATTCATACATTATAAGTTAGCAAGTTGCTTTCTTGCCACTGGTTAAAAGCAGTTTAATTACAAGAAACGGGTATTTTCTAGTGAACGGAGAAACCCAGTGTGCAGCTTCCTTTAACTAGAATTACAGAGATGCCAAATTGGGCAATTCCGTGGCTTAATCAAATTTTCACATTTGGGACAACTCCAGAAAGGCTAGGGCTTGATTTCCACAACCCCACTGAGTTGTGACACCTGTTTTAAGCAAAGTGATTCACAGGCAAGCTTTTTCAATAAATGCATTAGATTGTAATCAGGAGCTAGAATCAAATTCATACTTTTCCTTCCAAGGGTAAATAATACAACTCACTTTCATCCTCATCTCCCATTCTGCCAGGATCAACTAATTCAGCTCGGAACCTCATCCAACCAGTAGAGTTCATTCGACCCAATGTTACCTCTACTTCATTGGGAAAACAGATTCATACTTTTAATTTGGCTAGACAGCTAAACACATTGAGGGAATTTTACATTAAAAGAAGTACCCTTAAATATTATTTAAATTTAAAAAGAGAAAATAGTATGGAGCAGAACAGAAAATGCTATTAACCACTCTTGAACCAGAATTTATTTTCTTTGTCACTAACTTATAATTTCAACTGACAAACAATTGTCATTTCATTAAGCTAGCAAAAATAATAGTTCTAGAATAATTTCCGTGGATATTTTACAAGCTTTTAATAGAAATTGACATCAATAAACCCATACATACCTGCTGGAGACTCACTTGTGATGGATGCCAAAGTAGTGAAGAGAAGGCCACAAGTCAGTTTGGTATCTGGCACTTTTCCTTCAGTCGATGTATAAAACACAGCTTGAGCCTGATACAATGTGGCAGCTAACAGCTCAACCAGTGAGCATACCTGTGCCTTAATGCCAGCACCTTAAGACATAACGAAAAATTAATTTAGGCAAATTTCTAAATATAAAGTAGCTTTTGTATCCTTAAGAGTACCATTGAGATAGAACAGACTCAACTCATTAGAATCTAATAACTGGCTACTGGCTAATTAGTTTTCATTACAGTTTTTCTTTTTAATTTTTCTGAAGACCAGATTCAAACACTTTCTCCTTTTCCTACAGAATTAGGTCTAAGCCTGGTGCTCACCATGGTGCGGTTGGTTAAGTAACTGCTGAATTGCTGATTTCCTAGCTAAAAGGAAATCAGCGAGAGCTTGGCGTGGTGAACTATCTTCCAGGAGCATTATGGCACATAGAGCTTCTGCAATAGCTTGATCTGATATTGCTCGTCCCTTCAGCAGTGTTTTACTCTCTTGTAAAATGGATGCTCTAGAGGAAAAAAAAACCCAACATAAATTTAGAAACTTCATGACTGTTCCTTAATTTCACAAATAATTAATGCTAGGCCTCGAACAGATATTTCATTCTTCAAGATTCATTGAAAAACCAAGAATTTTATGGCCTGAATTTTATGGTTTTCTGATAAAGGGCAAGTCACATCCGTTTTGGTGGAGCAATGTGCATCAAGACACTGAGTGAATTTCTCGCTGAATACTCACTAATACTCCCCGTGAAGACAGACAGCTGAATAGTTAAGAGCAATGAAATGTAAATAGCCGTGGTAAGCCTGGATTCAAGTGCCACATACTCCAGAGGTGTGTCATAGCACATCTGAACAGATTGCCACAAGAGTCCAAATACATTTAACCAGGAGTGGTGTCCCTACCTCTGAACCACGAGACCTGGGTTTCAATCCCATCTGCTCCAGAGGTGTGGAATAACATCTCTGAACAAGCTATTTAGAAAATATCCAAGAATGAGAGTGTAGGCTGTTGTGGTGCAGTAGAGAAGTGTCCCAAAGTCTGGGCCAAGAGACCACAAATTCAAGTCCCATCTGCTCCAGACGTGAGTTGCAACATCGGTGAACTGGGTGAGGAAAAAGCAGTAACGAGAACATGCACACTTCTGTTTATCTAAAGAACCTGATAGAATTTATGTTATTTATGTACAATTTGAGTAATTTATTCCATGATTTGGCTGTCAGCCCTGGTATAATTGTTGAACATAGATTGAATATTTACAGTATAACTATATTCACGGCTTCTTATTTTTCTATTCAGGTGATGGTAACGGTATAGTGGTATTTTCAATAGATTAGTAACCCATAGCCCCATCTTAATAATGTGGAGACATGGATTTGACATGGCAAATGCTGAAATTCGAATTCAGTTAATAAGTCCGGAATCATAAAAGCTAGACTAATGGTAATCAGAAACCACTGCCGTTGAAACCCATCCAGTTCATTAATGTTTTTGAGGGAAGAAAAATCTGCTATCCTCATCTGATCTGGCCCACGTGACTTCAGACCCAGTCATACATTTGACTCTCAATTGCTCTCTGAAATGGCCCAGCAAGTCACTCTGTTTAAGGGCAGCTGATCAAATGCCAGGTTTGCCAGAAGCACACATATCGCATGAAAGAAAAAAAGAGCCTCGGAAATCTCAAAAAAATAGCTGTCAGAAGACTAGGTAAGGAGTGTAGCCATACCTAGTATCAGTTAGTTCTGCAGAAACTTGGATCAAACCTCAAGCATGGGTTAGTCTTTTTTTTCCTCCCAAAATGTCTGGCACTTGCAATCAAGCGCATTAAGGATAACTGGACCCAAAAACTTGAAAAAGAAAAGAAAAGAAAGCATTCTGGACAATTATTCACTGTTAATGTCTGAATGCTTTTTTTTTCTTCCACCCAACTATAAAATCCCAGCAACAAATCAGATCATCTAAATCAAGATGAACAATTCTTTAATGAATAACTGGGAACCATAGAGGAATAAACCAACAAAGTCGTACACTCTGCTGTAAAAAATTATGCTAATTCATTCTCTTATCAGAAGTAAAATCTACTTAGATCCAAGGTTGGCTAGGTTTCCAACCTCCTGAAAGCACTCAGTATTTGGCACATCTGACTTACATCCATGCAATCATCTGTTGACATATTTACAAGTTTACCAAGCATGACGTTTGGCTGTAATACAAAAAAGGTACAGTCCCATTCAGGAAACTGCTGCCTCTGGCTGGTGCCCCATCGATCACTCAATAGAACCAATATAAAGACAAATTTGAGCTCGGAATAGCTCGATCCTATCACATGCAGCACAGCACAGCACTACATCTTCTCAAACAAGTTACAGTTTGGCTCTGTCTTACAGTCCTGATTCACTGCAGTGTTGGCAATTCAGTAAATCAACAAGGAGATGGAGAAACCTTGGTGATGACTTTTCAATATAAAATTATGTCAGTCACCTCGAAAAGTGTCACATTACAGAGACGTTACAGACACCAAGAACAACAAAATGGGTACAGGGCCTTTAATGGGACAAACATGTCCCTGGAAAATTGAAAATAATATGATACTACATTCCATAACATTTGAAACTGAAGCAACCAAAATATTGCAAGTACACTTAGAAACTAGATGCAGTGGAAAAATTACAGTATTTTCAATGTTGGATAATACTGTTGAGAACTACGGTAACATTGCACACCTGCCCACAAGGGTACCCTGCTCTTTTCAGTTACAATATTGAATGCTTGATAATGTGTCTTAAATACAATCAACTAAAATCACTCCAGCTGAAAAGTGACACCATGAATCAGTCACCCATTACAGAAAAATCTCAATTTTTGAGACATTGATTCACAGAGTTTTTATAGCATGGAAGAATGTCCTTTGGCCCATCATGTCCACATCTGTCATCAAGCATCTATCTATTCTAACCACACGTCTAGCACTTTTGGTCCATAGTCTATGTCATGGCATTTCAATGCTCTTTTTAATAGTTTTTAAATTTCTTGATGCTACCTACCTCAACCACCCTGTTAGGCAGACGGTTACACATACTCAATGACCTCTTGGTGAGAAATCCTCAAATCCCAGACCATCCACAACCACATCACTTCAGGTGACCTCTGACCCACAGCCTCCAATCTCATTGTTCCCCAACCCCACACCGCCCGTTTCTATCTCCTTCCCAAAATCCACAAAACTGACTGCCCTGGTCAACCCATTGTATCCGCCTGCTCCTGCCCAATTGAACTTATCTCTATTTTCGCCCCCTTGGTCCAGGAACTGCCCACCTACGTCCGTGACACCATCCACGCCCTCCACCTCCTCCAAAACTTCCGATTCCCTGAGCGCCAACACCTCATCTTTACCTTGGACGTCCAATCCCCATACACTTGCATTCCCTATGCAGATGGTCTAAAGGCCCTTTGTTTCTTCCTGTCCCGCAGGCCCAACCAGTCCCCTTATCCACTTAGCTGAACTCGTCCTCATCCTTAACAACTTCTCCTTCAATTCCTCCCACTTCCTACAGACAAAGGGGGTGGCCACGGATACCCACATGGGCCCAAGCTATGCCTGCCTCTTTGTAGGATACGTGGAACAATCCCTCTTCCAAAGCTGCACTGGCCCTATCCCCCAACTCTTCCTCCGTTACATCAATGACTGTATTGGCACCGCCTCGTGCTCCCACGAGGAGCTCGAACAGTTCATCCACTTCCTTAACACCTTCCACCCAAACCTTAAGTTCACCTGGACCATCTCTGATACCTCTCTCTCCTTCCTGGACCTCTGTTTCCACCTCTGGCAACCACCTGGAAACCAATATCCATTTCGAGCCTACCAACTCCCACAGTTACCTAGAATACACCTCCCTGCAAAAATGCCATCCCCTTTTGCCAATTCCTTCACCTCCGCCGCATCTGCTCCCAAGATGAGGCATTCCACTCCTGGACATCCCAGATGTCCTCGTTTTTCAACGACCGCAACTTTGCCTCCACAGCGGCTGAAAACACCCTCGACCGCGTCTGTCGCGTTTTCCGCAACTCATCCTTCACACCCCCTCCCCACAATAACAACCAAAACAGAAATCCCATCATCCTCACATACCACCCCACCAACCTCGGGGTCCAACGCATCATCCTCCGGCACTTCTGCCATCTGCAATCTGACCCCAAAGACATTTTTCCCTCCCCACCCTTATCGGCCTTCCAAGGGAACACTCTCTCCGTGACTCCCTTGTCCGCTCCATACTCCCCACCATCGCCAGCACTTTTCCCTGCAACCGCAGGAAGTGCTACACCTGCCCCTACACCTCCCCCCTCACCCCCATCCCAGGCCCCAAGAAAACCTTCCACATCAAACAGATGTTCACCTACACATCTGCTAATGTGGTATGCTGTATCCGCTGTTCCCGATGTAGCCTCCTCTACATCAGGGAAACCAAGCAGAGGTTTGGAGACCGCTTTGTGGAACACCTATGCTCGGTTCGCGACAAACGACCGCACCTCCCAGTGATAAACCATTTCAACTCCCCCTCCCACTCCTTGGACGACATATCCATCCTGGGCCTCCTCCAGTGCCACAACGACGCCACCCGAAGGTTGCAGGATCAGCATCTCATTTCGCTTGGGAACCCTGCAGCCCAATGGTATCAATGTGGACTTCACAAGCTTCAAAATCTCCCCGCTCCCGACCGCATTCCAAAACAAGCCCAGCTCGTTCCCCCCTCTCCAACCTGTCCATCTTTACTCCCACCTATCCACTCCTCCCACTTGAACTTCAAACCCCACCCCCACCTCCTACCTACCAGCCTCATCCCCGCCTCCTTGACCTGTCCATCTTCCCTGGACTGACCAATCCCCACCCTAACTCCCCAACTACACTCACCTTTACTGGCTCCATCCCCCCCTCCTCTCCACCTATCTGCTCCTTTATCCATCTTCCATCTGCCTCCCCCCCCCCTCCCTTTATTCCCCCCTCCCCCATTTCTGAAGAAGGATCCAGACCCGAAACGTCAGCTTTCCTGCTCCTCTGATGCTGCTTGGCCTGCTGTGTTCATCCAGCTCTACACCTTGTTATCTCAGATTCTCCAGCATTGACAGTTCCTATTATCTCTCAAATCACCACCTGTTCCTTCCTTTAAACTGTGCCCCTACTTATTTACCCCTGTAAATGGAAACATTTCTCCCTATGTGCACCCCTCAGAACTCTGTATACCTCAGGTACCCCCCTCAGACTTCTCCGTTCTAAAGGCAACAATGCATCCTACCCACTCTTTCTTCATAGTTGAATCACTTGAGCCCGAGGATCTCTTCTGCGTGCCCTTATGTGCAATCATATACTTCCTATGATGTAGCAACCAGAACTTTATTCCAGCTGTGACCTGTTTTATGGAGCTCCATCCAAACCTCCTTGCTCGTGTTCAATGCCTTTACTAATAAAGGCGAGTATACCAACGTCTTCTTAACTACCTGTCCTCTCGTCTTCAAGGATTCAAGGACACGCACACCAAAATCCCTCTAATCCTTTGTACTTCGTAGGGTCCAATCATTAAACACACATTCTCCCACCTGTTAGTCCTCCCAAAATAAATCATCTCATCTTTCAATTAAATCCCATTTGTCACTGTTCAGCTCATCAGACTAGCCCATCAGACTAGCCCATCTATATCATTCTGTAATCTGAGGCCTTCCTCCTTGCCTTTCATTACACCATTAATTTTCGCATCATCTGCAAACTCCCTGATCATTTTGCACACATTCATGACTAATAATTAATGTACAACACAAATGCAAGAGACCCTGCAATATACTACCGGGACGCAGCCAAAAAACACCCTTCAACTACCACCTTCTGCTTACTTTCACTAAACCAATTTTGAATCCAATTTTCCATATCACCATCCATTCCATGGGCTCTTAGTTCCTCAACCAACCTGCTTATGAGAACTTGTCAAAAACCTTACTAACATCCATGTAAGGGTTGGCACTGCTGCATCACAGCATCGGGGACCCAGGTTCGATTTCCGCCTTGGGTGACTGTCTGTGTGAAGTTCGTATATTCGCACCTTCTACACACAGGTTTCCTCTGGTTGCTTAGATTTCCTCCCAGTCCAAAGATGTGCGGGTTAGGTCGATTGGCCATTCTAAATTGCCCATAGTGTCCAGAGATGTGCAGGTAGGTGGACTGGCAGTAAATGCAGGCTTATGGGAATAGAGTGGGAGGGGCTGGGTCTGAGAGGGATGCTCTTTGGAGGGTCAGTGCAGACTTGAAGGGCTGAATGGCCTCTTGCCATGGAATATGGATTCTATGAAACAAAATCAACAACACGACCCTCACCTACACATCAGGTCACGACCTCGAAAAATTCAATCACCCAAAATGACAAAACCTTGCTGACTGTCCATGATCTCCAAGCGGAGATTAATTCTGTCCCTCAGATTTCTTTTCCAATAGCTCCCCTGCCACTGATGCTAGAAACACTGGAGGCCTTACTGCTTCCTGATTTATTCCTTCTTGAATAATGGCACTGCTCCTGTGTTCAAAGAAGCTTTGAAAATTGATGTCAGAGTCCCTGAAATCTCCTTCCTTGCCTCCCACAGCAGCCTAAAATATATTGTGCCTAAAACTGCTGATAGGTCCTCCCTCTCAAAGCTAGTTTGCTCAAGTCCTCAATTCCTGTACCTGCATCATCCTTCGCAATAATGAATACAAATGCAAAATACTCATTTAAAACGTCAGCTATGTCTCCCTGGCTCACCATACAGGTTGCTGATTTGGTCCCTAATGGGCTCCAACCTGCTTATGATTCGCTTGCCCCTAACGTATTTATAAAACACCTCTGGATTTTCATTAATTTTACTCACCAATGTTTTTCTCATGGCCCTTCTCTCCCAATTTTTAAGAAACCCCTCCCTCCCCAGAATTACTATATGCCTCTAGGGCATCCATTGATCTGAGCCTGCAGCATCTGCCATAAACTTTCTTTTCTTCCTATCCAATCCTGTGCGACCCCTGACATCCAAGGTCCTCTGAAGTTGTTGATTCCCCCTCCCTTCACGGGAACACATTGATCCTGCACTCTTACTATGACCCTATTGAATGATTCCCACTACTCTGATGTGGAATTTCCTGCAAACAGCTGCTCCCAGTCCACTTTGACCAGATGCTGTCTTAAGATACTACAACTGGCCTTCCAATTCAGAACATTTCTGGTCCAGCTTTGCCATTATCTATAATTAGCTTAAAATCTATGAATTATGGTTACTTTCACAGAAATGCACCCCCATTCCCTAAAATTAGGTCCAGCACACTACTCCCCCCACCGCCAAAAGTGTCAGAGACTCAACAGGTGTTTAACAACTGAAAAGCTAACCCTCTTCTTCGACATCATAACCAGAGCTCAGTTGCTCACCAGAGTTGCTGGTGGCTCTTCAATTTGTATTCACGCTTACTTTCAAGAGACAAAGCTACGTTTCCATCTCTATGAATTAGATAGTAACAAATGATCATATTTCCTGTTTTATGGAAGCTTTGCTTATGCCAGGACTGAAACTCTGCCTCTTGATCAATCAAGTCCAAGCACAGACTTTCTCATTATCTTTCAACAAGATCATTGGAATTAGATGTTCACCTGTGAGAAACTTGGGAATTGGGAAACTTGCTGCCATACCTCTAAAAATTTCCTAATCTTCTAATACGTTATGCCATACTTTTTGTCATTTATCAAACCTGACTTTAAAATCATGATAATCTATAAAGGGAAACAATTTCACTGGTGTAGTGCCAAAACTGGAAACCACGTGTGAAAGTCTGCAACCAGCACTCTTACTCAAGTCACCGAAATTGGTATTAAACATGATTTGATAAAGAAAAGTTTTTTATTTATAACTAACCTGAAATGACCTGCTGCTGCTACTTGTCGAACAAGGATGGGAAAACGGGCCAGGACAGGAGTGTAATAGGAACCCGAAGAGTCCAACTGAAGGATACTATGAATGTGGCAGCACAGCAGATACATTTGAGTAGCTTGGAGATACTGGGATGATTCTAAGGCACTCCAAATTTTCTCTGGCATATTCAGAAGTAGCTTGATCTGTGCTGCCATACTGTAGAATTTCTCCTGGGATTGTTGCTGAGCCTGAAGCAGAAATATAAAATCACTATTTTACATCACTGGTGCTCACACCTCAGTAACGTAATTTAAAGATCAATTCAGCCAGGGTCATGAGACCTTTATCATTAAAGATGCTGACTGATCTTTCACTTTTTCTCGGTTTTACCCAAATTTGTCCCATCATCAGAACGTCCCCTACAATCACGTTTCATCAAAGTCTGATCAAAGTCCCGTGTCTCAGGGTGCTACTTTTGCTCCCCAAACTTGGAGATATGCTGTCCACAACAGTACTAATTATGATGACAGAATTGGTTTCAATTTGCAAGAGTTTTTTCCAATTAAACACAGTCAAACAGGTCTTTGTAGCTCCAGACATAACACATGCCTCTTTGGTCCCAAATCCATCCTTTCCTTCAGGTTTAATACTGAACTCAAAGTAAGCAACATTGATGACCTAATTCATAAACAAACTTCAAATCATACATAATACAATGCAAGATGGTTCCCTAACTAGATCCCTCTCTTTTGCAATTTAGTTCTGTCAACACCCTCGTGTGTTGAAGTCGAGCACCCGACCCCACTTTAATCACTCCCATAAAAGTGTACATAACGTCACCCACTTCTGGTCCAAGCTCATGCAATCTGGGTCTAAAACCATCATCTGAGCCTCCACTGTTTCTAGACTCAAATGTTTCAACACTTTCTTCATTAATTTACCAAGCAACCCATAAATTAACATCAACTCACCTAAAACTCAGCTATCCACAGCCCTTCCATGTTTGAATCCTTCCAATCTCTAATATTTTCTAGGCACACAACAGCCCTTCAGACAACGTCTATTCCTTTGATGACAGTTCCATACCGATCTTTGCCTTCCCATCAATCTTGTACTAGTGCCTAAGCCTTCAGTGACCTAAGCAATGCAATAGAATTCCCTTCACAAGTCCTTCCATTTCATTACCAAAGCACTTTCTTACCACTTTTGATATCTTATTTGGTACAGAATTTATTTTTCAAAAAGATATATTGCTTGGATTTTTTTTCTACATTAAAAAGGTGCCATATAAATACAAGCTTGTGTACTATCAACACTTTTCACTTCAAACATCATCTTTTTCTGTCAATAGCAGCTGCTCAAATCCACATCAATATTTGCAGCATCTTTCAAGTCAACTACTACTGCCCACATTCTAATCCACACTTACTTTCAAGCATTTATTTCAGCATTCTTTACATAAATAATCTAAAAGTTTCTCTGAACTCCACTGCTATTGATATATCTTTTCGACTTTCCAAAATATCCCAAGAATTAACACATTGCCAAAGAGATTAGTTTAAGATATTTTCTCTGACAACTAATGCCAAGTATTGATGTCACACCCCATACAAACAATTATAAAAAATCTGAATGTTAAAAAGAGACCAATGGAAAGGAAGGTGGACAGAATATAAACAGCAGCAAGAGAAAGCCAAACAAATCCGTGAGCTTGCTCCAACCTTCAACAACATGATTTGATTTTTGATCTCATTGTCACTCTCCTGCTCTATCCCCTATCCCCTATCCCTCAATTCGCTTAGTATCTAAAAATATACATAATACATGAATGCCCATAGTTCTCTGGGGTACATATTTCCAAAGATTCACAGCCCCTCCGATTGAAGAAATGACCTGGGGCAGTCCAAAGTGATCTAGCCCTAATCCTGAGACTGTGTCCCCCGAGAACTAACGAAAGGCCTGAAACAGGAACTTCTCTCATTGATACTGCTGGACCAAAAAAGCATTTTGTTTTCACTTCAGGTTTCCACTTTTCGCAGCGTTTTGCCTTTTGCAGCCAGGGGTTGGGGAGGGGTAGCAGCCCATTGGACAAAACTCCAAAGGGAGAAAACAAGCTGCTGTAAGGTGTTGGCACTGTGCAAGCCATAGGGCTGTGTGGAGGTTGTTGCTCCGGATCCTGGGTGCTGTGCACAGGCGAAGCGAGGCGAGCGCACACCTTGTTACGCTTGGCGGGGACAGCAGCCACTCTGCCGGGCCCGGATGGTTTGATGCGGGTGCAGTACTCATACATGTCCCGCACCGAGGTGACCACCTTCTCGGAGCACAGCCTCATGTCGGTGATGGTGTCGGCCGCCTCGATCAGGTCGCGGTACCTCTCGCCCACCATCTGGCGCAGCTCCTCCTTCTTGTGCTCGATCTCAGCGCGGACCCTCCGCTCCACCTGCCGGATCTCCTCGGTGCCGTAGCGCTCAAACAGGGAGCCGGGGTCCTGGATGTCGCTCACCCGCAGGTTCCTGGCGGCCACCGCCATGGTCCCCGTACCGATCCTGTCCCCTCCCACGGGACTGTGAAGGTGGCACAGTCCCTCCTACGCAAAGGGCAGTCGTCAGGCCCAACCCTAGGCCTCAGCCGGTTGAACCTCCCGCTTGAAAAGCCTTTAGTGGCGGCTCTCTCCTTCGGATGGACCGTTCTCCCTAAACAGACGTGGCCCTCCGAGAGCAATACTGCGCAAGCGCGGAAGGGTGGGGACGCGATAGCGAGCCGGTGCATGCGCATTAGTTCAAGTGGGCGGACGCATCAACGCATGAGCATTTGGTCCAAGCGCCCCGGCGACGCAAGCGCACTTGGTAGAGGAGGGACGGAGCCGAGCACACGAATGGAAACGGATACTGCCGGCCGACGCATGCGCAGTCGGCTGCGATTTGGCAGCGCCTGCGGTCTTCCTTTGCTCCTGGCTGGTGTTGGGGGGGGCGGGGCTGCTGTCTCCGGGCGGAAGTTTACAGGTGAGTGGGTGAGTGATCGATCGATCGTGTGGTGTGTCAGTTCCCGGACCGGAATGCGGGAGCGAAGGGCTTGAAGCGACGACGACAACGCTAGATCGGTGAGTATCACCAGCTTTGTCACCGCTTTCTCGATTTCGCACCCCCCCCCACTTCCCCCCGATAATCGGCGGGAAACAAGAGGGAGAAGATTGGGTATCGCGGCACCTCTTCCCCCTTCCCCAGCCGGCGTTGCCAAGGGCAATGGGAGTAAGGTTCACCTCCACACCCGGGGCACCCAGCACATGCCCTGCTGCATTTATCAGGAAGTTCAGCTGCAAATTAAAAAAAAACTGTCAGTGCTGTACGGAGATCGGGTTAAAAGCACAAAATCGCAGGAATATGAGGTGATACATCAAAGCAGGGCAATCTGATTATCAGTGGTTATTTTCTCCCTCTCATTTTGCAAATTTGTGCCATGGATTTGTACCCAATCGTACACTGCTTGAGAGAAACTTCCTACACACCCAATATATCCTGCAGTCTTTATGCAACTCGTGTCTTCCCTTTGGCATTTAATGAGAGTACGATATTATTCAGTCATTGTACCTATGTATTCTTTTCAACTGGAAATTAAGACGGGTATGTGCTACAACCAGAATAGGATCCATTTCCTTCAGGACTGAGTTGCAAGCTTTGGGCATGTGTTTGCAAATGTAAAATCTTTCACATTGTGGTTCTGTCGTCATAGCCCCACAGGTTTACATATATTTAAAAGTACAGAAATTTACAACACATAAGTATAAAATTAAAACTGATGACGACAATGACGAGTGGCTATCTAATTGATAAACCTCACTGCTTTATGGTTTTGGACTGTGGGTGCCACTGACAAAGTTCATTTGTTTGCCAACCTCTTGTGGCCTGTGGGAGTGTTGGTGGCCTTTTTAGCCTGGTAATTACTGATTTACTTTACTGACAGCAGGCTTGGTTTATGTTGGCCGTCGAATCTCGACAAAGCTATTTCTTTCTGTCTTCATCGTTCCCTATCCCTCCCCAGTCAGGGGAATGCTCATCAAATGTAGAGCTATAATTTGGTGCCAATAAACTTTGACAAGTCGAAATTTATCCTAGGAGGGGGTACAAAACAAACAGTTTTCTATTTCATTGCATGCTGTGGAACTAATCATTTAGCATTGTGTATAATAGGTTGGCATGGCTCTTGTGGTGCAATGGTAGTCCCCAACCTCTGGGTCAGATATCAGAAGTCCTGGGCTCAAGACTGACTTGCTGTAGAGGTGTGTCATAACACGTCTGAACAAGTTGATTAAAAATATCTGTAACAGGCAGTCATTTGGATATTCGTTGGTTTACAATGCCAACCAAGATGAATTTGAACTCCTTGAATAATGAGGTCACTAGCAGAAATATTGCTATGCTTGAAACAAAAACAGAAATTGCTGGAAAAATTCAATAGGCCTGACAGAATCTGTGGAGAAAAGGCAGAGTTAACGTTTCAGGTCCAGTGATCCTTTTTCTATTGAGTTTTGATATTTGTTCCTGATTTGCAACATCCAGAGTTTTTGTTTTTATTATTTAGTATTTAATTAAACATGTTTCTTCCTTGAAGAAATTCTGTTCCTTGCTCCAACAGGGCTTCCGTTCTAATCTATTTTGTTCGCCATCATTCATTTACTTAAGTTTACTAAGCCAGCCTATACCATGACATTTCAATTAAGCTTGATACACAGCTCAGTCTGCTGTATGCAATGCCAAACCTGAGTTTTAGATAGCTAAGAGGTTACACATTACTTATTGATGTTTAAGTTGGATCAGGACTTAAATCTAAATCTGCAGCAGAGCAAAGTGAAAAAACAATTGATAGGATATTTATGGCACTATTGCAAAACATTGCAAGTTTAACTCCGCATCTATAAGGATCCTGAAATTATAACATTTCTCAATAAAGCATATGGATACATTTAATTTCTACCTAATACAAAATGATCATGTTAACTTACACCTATTCCTGCCTTCCTCCCTCATTGGGGAAGACATAAGTGGAACTTCACAGCGGATTGCCAATTTTCTTGCTCAGATTTCATCAGTAATCTATTGCAGTTTAAATGTCTATTACATGTCCATTAGTAAAAAGATGATTGTTATTCATTTTATAGCAGGGAGTTAAAACGAGATTTTGATATGATTGTAGTGCTTCATCAATTGGTTTATAGATATTTTCTAATCAACCTGCTTTGAGATGTTATTGCACACCACTGGAGTAGGTGGAACTTGAACCCAGGTTTCCTGGCTCAAATGCAGGGACGCTACTACTGTACACAAAAGCCCCCCCTCAAGAAAACACTTCTAACAGTGCAGCACTCCCTCAATACTACACTGGAATATCTGCTTTGGCTTTTGCTCTCACATCTGGAGTAGGACTTGAATGTAGAATCTAGTGCTACCAACAGAGACGTGGCTAAATTTAGGTCTTTGGAGCCTGACTTTGGGGTTTGGGGCTGTGTATTATTGGCAATAGGAACTGCCAAATTTTTTTCCACTCATTCACCTGTTTATTATTCCTTTCAAATTCTTTGTGTCCTCCACACCACTGGCATTACCATCGATCTTTGAACGTCGGACTCTTCAGAGCGTCAATGTGGATTCTAAGTAGATCAGTTCCCAGTAGTGATTCCTTTTGCACCCACTTTTTGCAATCAGCCAGCTTCAAAATTGCCCATTTAGTCTGATTTTCTGTTTCCTGTTAGTTAATAGCTTCTTACCCCATACTTCTATATCACCCCCAACAACGTGAGCTGTTATGTTGAATAGTAACTCTCTGTGACACAACATTGAATAGTTTTTGGAAATCCAGGTGCACACCTACTGCTTCCACTTTATCCATCCTACCTGTTGCATCCTGAGAGAACATTAATCAAGTTTCCAAACACTGTTTCCTTTTCATAAAACGCATTGACTCAGCTTGATTAGATGTTTTTTAAATGTCCTATTATTTAATAATAGATTTAAAAAATGGAATGATAGACTATTGGCCTTCTTTTTTGCTTTCTGTCTCAATCCTTTCTTAAATAGCAACATTATTTGCTGTTTACCAAGCTACTGGGACCTTTCCAGGATGTAGGGACTTTTGGAAGATTGCAACATAGGATTCCACTGCCACTGCAGCTACTTCTTTTGAGATCCTAGAAACCTGACCATATCAGTTTGCCAAGTACTTTTTCTCCACTGGAAATTGTTTTTAGTTTCTACCTTTTGCGCAGATATTTTCCTATTATTAGCACCCCCTACTGCGAACACAAATGCAAAATGTTTGTTTAAAGTCTCTGCTATTCCCAATATTCCAATTTTAATTCCACATTCTCATCCTCCAAGGGATCAATGTTTACTTTACCTACTCTCTTCATTTTTATGTACTTGTAAAAGCTCTTACTATTTGATTTCTATATTTCTTGCTAATTTAATGTCAATTAATCTTTTCCCACCTTATAATGTTTTTAGTTATAGATGTAAAGAACTGGAGAAGTCCTCTTACACATTTTTTTGCAAAACGTTTCCTTCCCATTTCACAGCTAACTATGAGAATTTAATGGTAGGACCCAACCAGAATAAATCAGGTTTTTTGAGATCACTGATATAACCTACAGCAATGATATTATGCACATGTGCAGAGTCAGGCCCTGATTCAAAACTACTGAGTTGCTTTGTTTCTTGTGAAGACTGGGAACGTCTGGACAACTGTGAGCCTTTTACTCACAATGGACCCCATTGGCAGATGACATATAAACAAGTGGATAGAAACGCCAGTTTTTGTATATTTCACTAGCTCAATTCACTTAAGTAATTGGACAAATAGGAGATAGTGACTACTGCAGAAAATTAGATGTGCAGAACAAACTTGGAAAGACCTGACTGAATAGACTGGATGATGGAAATTATTTTTCATTCTTTAATAGAATGTGAGCTTCGCTGGTAAAGCCAGCATTTATTGTCCTTGAGAAAGTGGTGTAGGGCTGCTATCTTGAATTGCTTTAGTCCAAAATTTAGGGAAGGAGTTCTAAAATTGTAACCTAGTTACAATGCAGGAATTATAATATATTTTAAAATTATAATGTTATGTGACTCGGAGGAGGTGATGGTGTGCCTGCCTGCTGACCTTATTTTTATTAGCATTAGAGGTTTGGAAATTGCTGTCAAAAAAAGCTTTGGCAAGGTGCTGCAGTGTATCTTATAGTTGTCATGTGCTGCTGCTACATTTCATTGGTGATGGGTGGGATGCCAGTCAAGCTATAAGTATAGAAAGTATTGCAAAACCTGCAACTGATCCCAATCAGTCAGGCAGTATAGGAGTGAACATTTACAAGAAAAACCTGTTTGCAGGAAATGGGGTTTGTCTGCTCAATTCCATTTGAGGGCAATGGTTGCTGCTGACGTTTAGCGGGTCCTTGCTGTAAAACTTTATTTTATGACTTACTAACAGTCACATTAAAACAGTCCATTGTTGGTGAAACCCTTTGGTATATTTGAAAGGCTTGATGGAATGCTGTATTATGAAGTCTGTTCTTCATTTTGTAAATCATCCCATGGGACCTCTGTCATTCTTTGAATGTATCTGTAGCTAAGGACTACACCAGGCTTTTTTCCACAATTAATCCCATAGATAGAAGTCTGTAACATTTCATTAGGAAATTTATTAATTGCTTTGAAAATTGTGTTCCCTAATTTAAGAATCTACATTGAACTAAAACAGAAGTTGCTGGAAAAGCTCAGCAGACCTTCAACTTCTGTTTTTGTTTCTGATTTATAGCATCCTCTTTCGCTTTCTACAGTAAACTAAGTTACTTTGTGAATGCTTAGCCTTTTTACACCATTTTAATGGAGACATCAGTCCCTTGGAAATAAAATGTTAATGCTTCTCAAGATAGAGAGAGTCTTGTTTTGGAGTAAAATACAGTAACACTACAAATAGTGACTTCCAGGCTATGATTTCAGTAATACTTTTTCTCCAAAGTGCTTACTACGAACCAGCAATATCAAGCTATGATTGTAACATCATTGCAAGCTTTTGATTCAAGTAAGGACCCTCAACTGATAACTTTTTTTT